AGGTGCCTTCAGTGACTTAGAAACAAGTCTTGTATTTTGCCGGATCTTTTCCAGGTTAAGCAGCAGCCCACTCCGTTAAGTTCCTCGAATTGTCTATAAAGATTTTTATACACCCCTCATTGTGTTTTACACCTGTTATTCTAAATTCCTAGTCCTTCTCTTTTCCAAGTCCCAAACCAAAATAAATAATAGAGGAATAGGATTTGCTCATCATTCTATCAAAAGGGTAACCCTATCCCCAAAACTCTCTCATTATCAATTTTCACCTGACTGAGATGCAGCAACTCCTCGGAGGATTTTTCCCTCAGGCACTTCAGCAGGGCCAAGGAGTCTGATGCGTTGCAGCCACAGACCTGTGCAACCATCTGCAACTATTTCCAGAGAAAGACAAGGTCAGAGTGTGGACCAAAAAACATTCAGGAAAATGAGTGAAAGTTGGGAAGTGTCAGATGAGTTCCAGCCTGCTGCCCCTCCCCAGTCCCAGGTACTAATAGTGAATGTACACCTTTAAGATAGATGGCACTGCATTATCCTTACTCTCTTGCCTGACCCTCCTTGTCATTTTTAGCAAACACCAGAGCTAGGGATGGAGCTGTCCATCTGTGGAATAAAATGAAGATTCCTTTTCACAGAAAGAGGCCAGTCCTATGAGCTTAGCTGCCTTGGCAGTAAGACCCATAGAACCCGGCAGCCCAACCTTCAGTTGCTAAATGGAGCCATGAGCCCCAAGAGTGAGGACTGGTTTCACAAGCTCCTTAATTGTCAATGAAGACATGACTTCAGGCCAGATCCTCAGCTTATCAAGATGCTCAAGCCCCATTTCCATCTACAACCTTGAACACCCTGAATGTCTTTTTCTGTCTCTACACCAATCCCACTTATTCTTTAAGGCCCAAGTCCTGCGTCCTCCAAGACATCCTTTCAGATCATTGTAGCTACAGGCCCTGCTAACCCTTTTCTCCCCTAATCTATCACCCCAATGATCTTACCTTCCCTACCTACCCCATTGCTAAACACCATTAAAATATTCATATATGTACAACATGTCCCTTGAAAGTGGTGATTCTTAATCTTCTGGCAGTCATGCTCTGAGAATTCAGTGAAAAGCTACAGACCCTCTCCTTGGAAAAAATACACAAGCATATGGAGTCTGCATACAAGTGCAGGGTGTTCAAGGACCACTTTCCAAACCTATCCACAGATTCCAGCTTTAAACAAACAAACAAACAAACAAACAAACAAACAAACAAACAAACAAACAAACAAACAAACAAACAAACAAACAAACAAACAAACAAACAAACAAACAAACAAACAAACAAACAAACAAACAAACAAACAAACAAACAAACAAACAAACAAACAAACAAACAAACAAACAAACAAACAAACAAACAAACAAACAAACAAACAAACAAACAAACAAACAAACAAACAAACAAACAAACAAACAAACAAACAAAAACCCTTCAAATAGAAAGACTATGGAAAAGACTCAGTGGAACAGCAATATCTTGCTGCCCAGGTGAAATTGGACTCAATGGAAGATTGCATGTTTGGTTCCCTGGTTGACCTGTGCAGGCTGGAAGCTCACGTCCATGATCCCGGCTGGCTGAGAAGGCAGAGTGCTTATCTCTTCCTGCCTCTCATTATCATAAAAGACAAAAATTAATTTTAAAAATAAACATTATAGTCTAGACATCATGATGCACACTGTTAAGGTGCCGCACTTTGCAGGCTGGAACCACATGGAAGACCTTGGTTCTATTCCTGGTTCAGCCAAAAGGCTAGACACAGTGTTGCAAGTCTATCAATGATGCAGGGAGGCTAAGTCAGAAAAATGACAAAACTGAACTTGCCTGTGCGTAGTAGTGACTTCATCTGAAAAAGAGTCAGGCATTGTGACATGCACCTATAGTTCCAGCTGCAAAGCTGAGGCAGTAGATTCAACATGGCGAGACTCCAAAAAGAAATTTATAGTTTTCTAGAGTTTAGGATATGCTTTCTTCACTAATAAACTCATAGGTTCTATGGAGCTAGGAAAACAATAGGCACTCAATAAATTTGTGACCAAAAAAATACATGCACAAACTAAAGTAGCTTTATATATATAAAATGTAACCAAAATCAATGTTCCCTGTGTATTGAAGGTATACGATTTTATAATTCTATATTTCTTGTTTTGGTGTGTATTGTTATCTCCTATCCGGTGTTTAAGAAAATGTACCAATAAAAATGATTAATACATAGGAGATGATTCCTACGCTTACTTAATATGCATTGAATGAATCAGCTTATTCATTAATTTACTTATTTGGCAAACATTTACCATTACCTAACATATACCTGGTATTATGTTCGAGACACAAAAGACAGAGAACCGTTCATCTCTAGGTCCTCACTATCTACAGTAAGGACCAATGACAGAAGACAAATATCTAGGACATATGTCCCACCTCTCCCTCATAATCCCATGCCAGACAACATTAATCTGCCAGTGTTCTTTTCCACTGAGCTGGAAACAGCTTCAGAATCTTTCTTAACATGGTACTCTGGATATTCTTTCCAATGGAGTAGAGTAGGTCCAGGAAATGGGCTGTGTATAAACAGGAGACTGAGCAGTGTACCACAGCAAAGAATAATAAATAGGATGCAAAAACCGTAACACACACTCACACTCGTGCATACCACTGATGCTGCCTTACATAGCTCGACCCATTTCCTTCAATGGAAGAAAAAAGTTCACATGGGCCAGCATGAAGTTCCTCAGGCATGGTCAATATGGGAAGGCAAGGACATGACGAGATTCCTCACCATGCTCTCTCTTGACTAAGGAGAGGAAGCTGGAAAGGTGTTAACAATATACCTACATCCTCCTTCCATTCATCATCAGATGCCTTCAGATAAGGGATGATGGCCACTCCACTCTCCATGATGGCTTTGTGGAATAAGCCATTGGCCATGGGAGACAGAACCTGGAGAGAGAACACAGGAGACCCAGGGAGTTACCCCAGGGTGCCCCACCCATCATATTTACCTTCCATCCCTTCTTTACAGAAACCTTCTCAGGAAGTCTCCTTAAGAACTCTCACCTTTGAGAAAAAGAAAGTGCTGTTTTGGGGGTCAAGGACCAGCTGTAAGGATTCTAGCAAATGGGACCAGCAGGTGACATGATGGTTACATTGCTGGACTCCCACATAGTCCACCGCAGTTTGAGTCCCAGACCTGGTGGCTTAAAACTCAGGCCAAGCATGTGTGCACATGTGCCCAAGATCCCAAGAGGAGAATGGAGGAGAAGGGATTGTGGCATGGGCATTCCTCCCCCACCCCCCACCCCCCACCCCCCGGGGTGTTTGTGTGTGTGATTTCTTGCTTTGTTTCTCCATCTCTCTCTGTCTCTCCAGGGAGTACGTGTGCCTTATAGCAAAACTTTCAAGTCAAACTTTCTGGCCTATAAGTTTTAGCTTCTTTATTTTCTAACTGGGTAACTTCTGGCAAGTTCTTTAACACTTGGTAAGCATCAGTTTACTCCCTCTTGTAAAACTAAAGTAATAATTGGATTCATTGTGCTCATAGAATCATTATGAAGGATGTGGAAGTAATGAACATATTGGGTTTTTGGAGAAGTCATGATACATTTTTGTGTAGAAAAACAGAAAAAAATACATCATGACTTTAACTCAGTAGAATTCTTTGCACGGTGCTGGTCAAATTTCACTCATGAAATGGTAGCTATTATTATATAGGTAAATTTGGGTTAATATAAGCTGTATTCATTTGTTATCGTGTTGCTAAACAGAAATACCTGGGACCGGGTGGTTTATAAAAAATGGGTTTATTTGGTTCACCAGTTTAGTGGTTAGAAAGTAAGAGTTAGCATCAGGCTGACCTCTGGTGCTATATGACCTGTCCAACAGATGCAGAGACAAAAGGAGAACACAGGGGAAAAGGGAAGAAACAGAATTCCCTCTTCTTCTGTTTGGTCTTCCCATGTCCCCTGCTGATTGGATATTGCCCTGCTATTAGGCCCTATCCCTCAAAGCTATTACATCAGTGATCAAGATTCCAGAACATGGAGCTGAAAGGTGATGTAGTGGTTAAGGCACTGGACTCCCACATGGCCCACTGAGGTGTGAGTCCCAGACCTGCCGGTTGAAACTGACACTGAGTACATGTACATGCATACCCACAAGCCCAGGAGGAGAATAGAGGAGAAGGGATTTCGACGTGGCCATCCCCTCTGGGGAGTGATTTCTCACTTTTCCTCTCACTGTCTCTCTCTGTCTCTCTCCAGCAGACACACACAACCTGTGGCAAAAACCTTAAAGAACAACAGCAGAAAGATTCCATAACATGAACCTTTGTGAGACAAACCATTATTTAAATCATAGCACTAGGGTACATCACACAGTCTGTGGAAAAATGAAATTAAACTGCAAGTTCATTTTGGTGCAATAATTTTTGAAATCCATGCCTAGTTTTTTCATAATAGGAATTTTCCATGAAGTTTTGTGAAATATACACACTATATACATCTTAGCAGGTACTTTCACAGATATAAAAATACACACGCACTATACAGCAGAGGCTCTCTTAACACGCTCCCCTGGAACTAAATTCTGTAAGTACCATCCTAATCGATGCCAAGGCAATGTTAGCCCTAAGAGCCATTAGGCCATTTCCCAGCACCTCCACACATTTCTATTCCCTCCAGTTTCCAGCCAAGCCAGGTGTGTTTACTTCCCAACCTGTTTTGTCAGTTGCACTTGTTATTGTAATAACATAACCAATAATATATCAAGGAAACCAATGAACTACATGTATAAAAAGAAAACAAAATGATATCTGAAGGGAAAAAATCCTTGATAAAGGTAAGTAGCTAAAAAATATTGCTCTCAAATTAGATGTGGACATGCTAAGAGTGGAAATATTTGGGGGAAAGTATTAAATTCTAGTCTAAGTTTCTAGTTAATAGAAGTGACCGTTAATGGCTGTAACCATGGTACTGGTGTCAAAGGGCTTTGTAGACTTTTATTTTTTTAATTGCTAGGGGGCATGAGAGAGACAGAAAGAAAGAGATAGAGAGAGAGAGATATAGAGAGAACCCCTTTCCAATGGGGCATAGTCATATTGCAATCCTTTCTCCTTCATTTTGTCATCAAGATTTGGGATACACATGCACACATGCTTGGTCTTTTTTTCCAAGCCAACAGTGTCAGATTTCAAACCGTGGTTAGCCATGTGGGATATAGCTCCCTTAACCACTAGGCTATAGGACTGGCCTAGCAGGCATCTTTTAAGTTTGTGATCACTATAAAGAAACTGAAACTAAAGTTTGAAGGCAGTGAGTATTTTTTTTAAGAATTATTTGTTTAATTTATTTATTATTATTACTATTATTATTATTTAACTTTGCTATAGGCACATCTGATCAACAGAGAGAGATAGAGACAGGGAGAAAGAGAGTAAGTGAGAAAGCAGGTGCAGGACTCAAACCTCAGTCAGCCATGCGGGAGTCCAGTGCCTCTACCACCATGCCACCTGCTAGCCTGAGGGCAGTGGGTTTTGAGAGTGGTTTGTGCCAGAGAACCCATGTGGGAATGTCAGTGAGCAACTGAAAAGAGGAGGGCCTGCATCAGGCCACTGGTGAGGAAATAGGCATTTTGTTTTAAGTTACGATAAAATGTTCATATGCATCTCTTGTTAGTTCATGTTTTAGCTGAGTTTTTCTGTTAAACAATTAGTTACTAAGATACTAAGGTTTCTACTATACAAATACACAGAGTCTTGAAAAAGTTCATGGAAATATGTATTATGAAAAAACTATGCATCGCTTTCAAAAAAAGTTGTATCTAAATAAACTGGTACTTTAATTCCTTTTTCCAACTTTTTGAAGTCTCTTTGTATAGGTATTTTTCCTCAATTACTCACTATTTGACCTTAGTGATTCACTTAAACTCTCTTGATGACACTGTCTTGCCCATGGAATAAGACAACTCCTAACTCACGATGCATTTGTGAGGCCTGAGGGAGGCCATGCATATAAAAGTTTTTCATGTTTGTACAACATGAAAAAAACAATCAAATGTGAGTGATTCATCATCCTCATTTTGCAACCTCCCCCATGAGGTTCATTCAAGTCACAAAGAGGAGAACTCACAAGGCTGGAAACACTTATGGCTCCTGCTGACTCTCCGAAGATAGTCACGGAATTAGGGTCTCCACCAAAGAACTTGATGTTCTCCTGGACCCAGGATAAAGCAGCCAATTGGTCCTTGAAGGCCCAGTTTCCTGGAGCATACTTGTCCCGTGTGCTGGAGGCAGGAGACAGTGAGAATTCTCAGTTGGCCACCACCTGTTTTCTGTAGCCCTGGGATATTGGGACAAAGGCTGGGGGCAGGTGTCAGCTGGGAGGGGTTAAGAATCAGGGGCCTAGAGGAGCTGAGGAAGTTGGGTTTAGTTCTCAGTCTGTTCTGGGATTTAGGTTTCTCTGAGAATTTGATAAAAGCTATGGCCCCAGAAAATGCACGTACAATATTGATACCATGGGCTTCCTTGAATCCATGGATCCCAGGAGAAGAGTCCTCCTGCTCAGAGTTGGTCTGGACAAGAGAGTAAGGCCTTCCTGGGCAACAGAAATGACTAAATTCTTGTTATTATTTATTTATTATTATCGTTATTATTAAAATAGCAACAGCATGTATCAGACACTGTTTTAAAGGCCTTTTGAGTAATATTTCTATAATTCCCCTAACCGATGAGTTAGATGGTGCTAATTTCTCGCTCTTTACTTCTCTAGGTCCTCTCTCCATCCTTTTTGCTCTGCTCCTAAAAAGCTGGCCTTGAAGAACTATATCACACAGGCTTCAGCTGCACGCAGTCAGTGGAGGTACCACTTAAAGGTGCTTGGGGGTGGGATATAGAGAGACTGGAGGTCATCCCACAATTTCCTTCTGCTAGGCAGTGGTTTGGGCAGTGGCTACATTTCTCCACAGCCACGGCTTGATTAACTAGGAAGGCTAATCCCATCTATTAAATCTCTGAGCACGCCATGAGGAAACTGATGGATATGTCGGCCCCTCAGATTAGGACATTCAGGCACAGAGAGGTTAAATTACTCTGCTGGGGCTGGGTGATAGTACAGCCATAGTGCCATGTTCTGTGAAGGCTGACCCACATGGGAAGTTCCGGGCACACACCCAGGCACCTCCCTGAACATATTAGGTATGTGCTGTCCGTTCCTCCGTTTCCATTTATCCTGAGAAATACCTTAGTGGTTAAGATCACAACCTCTAGCCCTGGATTCATAGCCTAACCACTTACTATATGGGTGACCTTGGGCAAGACATATAACCTATTTTGCTTCAATGTTCTAATGTCTAAAATGGAGACAAAAACACCTACTGCATAAATTGTTGAGGATTGATGGTGTTAAGGACACAATAAACTTTACAGATACATTAGCTATTGCATTTGTGATTCAACTACTCCATGGCCTGCATCAAGACTGTACTACTGGCCAAATGCAGGAGACTCAGGGCCCTAGGAAGTCCCGATCAGAGCCACAAGATGGAAGGAGCCTGGGTCTCTGATTGACAATGTGGAAGGATGCCTGTCAATCAACGGACACTCGCTTGGACTTTACTTCAGTGAGAAAGATATTTTTATTATTTTAAGTCTTCACAATTTAGGAACGTATTAGTTGCAGCTGTTAAAAGTTAACTAATTAGGGTCAAATTTACTCAGTGCCACCAAAGGCTCACGCCACTTTGCTGGCCACCACCTATGGCTATTGCATAGCTGCCCCCTTGGGGATCAGTCCTTTGGGGAGACTCACCTGAAGAACCCAAATATTCCTAGCCGGTACTGGGTGGTCACAACCACTACATCCTCATAGGCAGCCAGGACAGACCCATCGAAAATGGAGGCTGAGCCAGTCACAAAGGCACCCCCTGGGAACCACACCATGACCTGAGGAGAACAAAGGAACACTCCAGTCAGCCCCCCAGGTACCCACAGCTCTCCCCATGCACTGTGGAACATTCTTCTTTTTTATTTAAACATTTCTTTTAAGAATTATTTTTATTAACATTATTATTATTATTAAATTTAACCAGAGAAAGAGAGAGAGAGAGAGAGAGAGAGAGGTAGTGAGAAACCAAGCTGCAGCTGTCAGCCATTTAGGAGTTCAGCATCTTTAACCACCACGCCACCTGCTGGTCCCCTGTGGAACATACTTTCTTTAAGGAAATTTAAATGTCTCTTTTTTTTTTTTTTTTTTTTTTTCTAAGTAGGGTCAGGGATTTTGTCTTTTGAAGTAGGCCTGGGCATGCAGGCTCTGGAATCTGAGTGGCTGGGTTTGAATTTCAGCTCTGTGACTGACTAGCTGTGTGACCTTGGGCAGATTACTTAACCTCTCTGAGTCTCATTTTTCTTATCGGTAAGATGTGAAGAATGAAAGTATCTCACTTTGGAAGTTATCATGAAACTTAAATAAGATCCTGAATCTAAAGCTGCTAGGACAATATTGGTACATTTCAAGTGCTCAGAAAACATTACTATCAATAAATATCATTACGCCTATACCCCCAGGAAGATGGCAATCACTGTAAGCCACATATAAGAGCAAAAGCAGCTTAATATGTTTGAATTTAAGGCTTTCTTTTCCTGCTTTCAGAGAGGAGAGACAGGAGAAAGTATGGAAAAATTTCTAGATTGATTTAAAAAATTGGCACCAGGGGACATACAATGTTATTTAAGTGGTATTATCACTATTTACATACTTAATACTAAATTCTTTCCACTGACTTTTAAAGGTCTTATTAGAAATTACAACCAGGAAAAGAGGAGAAAGCTACCAAGGGAAAGGGGGAGCTGAATAAAACCTTGGCTTTGGCACCAGGATCTGGCACTTGTGTGTACACAGAGGCTCGCGTAGGCCCTCCTGTGCCTTGTCTTCTTCGCCTGTAGGAGGGATTCAATCGTCTTTACCCACCGGGTTGTTGTGGGCATTAAATGATGGACTGTGCCATGCCTAGCACACAGGAAACAGCCCGCAGATGTTGCTGTTGGGATAGAAGAGAGGGAATCTCCCATTGCAGAAGCATGGGGGAGAGAGGATGCTGGGAAGGCGTGGCTAAAAACCAGCTCTTAGACTGTGCATTGCTCCTACTCAGTTCTACAGGGATTGTTCACATTCTTAAATGAAATACGTAACATTATTACTTGGCTGTTTTAATTACAAACAGAAAAATTGAAGGATGCAATTATCCTCTTTAAAAAAGATTTCTTGAGAAAAGAAAAAACAGTCCTTTTATGCTCTTTTTTTTTTTTTCTTTTGAGAGTTTTTTGCTATAGGGCGCGTGTGCTCACCAGAAAGACAGACAGACAGAGAGACAGAAAGTGAGAAATCACCCCCCGGGGGGATGGCCATGCCACAATCTATTCTCCTCCATTCTCCTCTTGGGATCTTGAGTATACACACACACACACACACGCACCGGTGTGAGTTTAAGCCACCGGGTCTGGGATTTGAACCACAGTCAACTACATGGGAACCCAGCAACATAGCCATTATGCCAACTGCTGGTCCCCATGCTTTTATGCTTTTAAGCAGTGTCATTTCTGAAACCTAATAGGCCATTAAATACTCCACGGGGGGGGGGGGAACAAAAAATATAAGTCAAAGGTCAAGTCATTACCAAAAGAGAATCAATCAGAAAAAAAAAATGAAGTGACTCTATCATTATAATGATTTTTAAAAGACTTGTTTGTTCAATTTTATTGATTGTTATTGTTATTATTTAATGTGACCAGATGGAAAGAGAGAGAGAGAAAGTGAGAAAGCAAGCTGCTAGGTCTAGGACTCGAACCATAGCTGGCCATGTGGAAGTCCAGCACCTTAACCACCACACCACCTGCTGGCCCTATTATAATGATTTTTTAAAAACAAGTTATTGATGGTGATGATATTTCATTGTGCACAACAGAAGGCTAGGTGTGATTTCAAACAGTCACTTGCCAGATCCCAGGCCCAGAACCTGCTAGCTGGAGACCTAGCATGGCAAGCAGCCTTACCGGGAGCTTGGAGTCCACATCGGCATGCGCTGGCACGTAGATATTAAGGTACAGGCAATCTTCCGACACGTTGAATTTTGGGTAATGAACCTTGAGAATACGTTGGTCTGAGAACAGCCACTCTGAGTTCTGGAAACACCTTGAAAAAGGAGAAAGTCACCGAATTGCAATCAGCAAACAAGCCTGGGAGGGCCCAGTTCTTGTGGTGGCATGGGGGTGGAGGCCTGATCATCTTTCTGCCTGAGCAGAAAAAAACCTATTGCCATAGAATTGAATCATGACCAAGCCCCAGGAGTTTCAAAACAAGCAAGCAAGCAAACGACTCTAATGCTCTTTGATCTGGTTCCTGGGTAGGAAAGCACCTTGTGCAGAATAATTGTGCCATTAACTCCCAGCACACTCCCATGCCTACACCCACCACCATGACCTGGACAGACACACATAGAGACCCAAGCTGGCCCAGCAAGTTCCCAGATGGTAGAAGACAGGACACTGGGTTGAATATCAAGGACTTTACTCCCATAGCACCCTCTTCTGCCCCAAGAAGGGTAAAGGGACATTTCCAGGCCTCCATCCTAGTAGTTACAAACTGAGGCAGACTTGCAGGGAGACTCCTGCATTCAGGCTTTGCTCAAACTCATTCCTCTACCTGGACTGCTTGCTCATGTCCTTCCCTTTCTTTCATTTTCAGATTGCTCATGTTCTTCCCTTTCTTTCAAATGCCACCTCCTCCAAGAAGCCTTCTGAGGTTGTTCCATTAGATGACAGTTCTTCTTTGGAGACACCCACATACTTTGTATCCTTTCCCAGAACTTGTTCTAGGCTTGTCCATGAGTATGATTATGTTCTCCCACTCAACTACAAGCAGCTAAAAACTTGGGACTCTGTATTAGTCACCTCTGTACCTCAGACCTGGCACCTACACAGAGCCTGACACATAGCATAATTAAGCAAGACTGTAGATGTGAGGATTCTACTGTACTAAGATCTCAGTGAAAGTTCACCGTTTTCCTAGAACAGAGCACAAGATGGGCAGCGGGACCTACCACTGCAAATCTGCCCCCTGACTGGCGTACCTACCCCTTTATCCTCATGTTATTTATCAGAGTCGAAGCCTTGCTGCTTTCAGCAAAACTGTCTGACCCTACCTCAAAGCTAGGCTAGGTGGTTCTCTGTGATCCCTCAGCGCCCTTCTCTGATCCCCAAATGCTGCCCTTGTCACCCTATAATTAGGTTGTCTATTTTTATTATTTCTATCTTCCCCCACCACCGCCCAGTCTACATGCTCCTTGAGGGCTCCTGGATCTAACGTACTGTGGGGATCCAGCTGTTCTCAATGAACATCAGTTGAACGAATGAATGAACAAGCGAGTGAGTTTCTGCTTCATGTTATCAGTCCCTGGGAAACATGAGGTCCTCTTCTATGCCTTAGGGGTTGTCCTGACACCAGGGTACTTCTTCTGCCTGGCACTCAAATGCCAGGAACCAACATGGCCCAATCTCAGGGCTTCACAGAAGTAGAAATGCCAGAAGATTCCTTGAGATTTTGAAGTCTCACTCCCCATGCCAAAGTCTCACCTTATCCTCTACAATTAACCCACCACACCTGCAAATCTGGAGTGACTGGGAACTACCTACCTCCCAGGCCCCTGAGTCACAGAGGTCCTTTCATGTATCCATCCCACAGGGGTTCCCAGAGCTCCCACTACAGACTGGCCTTGAACTAGGCTTATTTTTAACTAAGGAGGCTGGAATATCTCTGGTGTAATTCTTCCCTCTGAGCCCTAACCCAGACTGCCTGTAGCAGCTAAACCTGGGTGAGAGGTCGCACCTCTCCAGGTCACACACCTGGATAGTCCCTTTTGACCAAAAGTCAAGTAAGCTCATTGCGGTGTCTTCAAAGCCTAAAGAGCTTTCAGATACATTTCCTGGACCTAGCTCAGAAGGTTCTGATTCATTAAGTTCAGAAGGGAGCTCAGGGAATCTACATGTTTTTTAAAGTTTCACTGATTCATTTCTTCTGTAAGAGAGAAAGAGAGAGACAGAGAGGGATAGCGAGACAAGCATTGTCAGCAGGGTTTCCACTCCATGATCTACCCTTAGTCTCAGCGGCCCCAGATCATGGGCACAAACACGAGCACCCAGCATACTCAGGGAGGTCCTGGGATGTGAACCCAAGACCTCTCCCATACAGTTCCAGCTATGCCACCACCGCACCATCAACTATCCCCTGAATATTTTTAACACTACCTCTAGCAATTCTACTGAACTTCTAGTCTGCGGAGTCATGACATTACAAAGCATGTACTCAGATCTGTAGCCCTCTCTTTTTCCCCCTCCTCTGCCACCCGCCCATTAGCCCCAATCCCCCTGCCATGCCCACCCCTCCTCTCCTTGCCTACTGGGCTGACCAACCTTCATTCTCTCCCAGTGCTCTGCCCCCAGCTCCCAGAGTCACAGGCCACCCCTAACACGGAGCCTTGTCTTACAAGTTAGGGTAGGTCGTGGCTTCTCGCAATTCATCCCAGGGTGATGCAGGTTGTGGGCCTGTAAATCTCAGAGATCCCAGAGGGGGTGCAGCATAGGGGACCCCGAGGAACACGTTCACAGGCATGGGGCTTCCCTGCACAGAGACTTGCTTTCCCTGGATCCATCCCTGCCTGGTGTTCCTGCATGGTACCTCCATAGCAGACCCTGAGGGAACATGGGGAAGAATTAGGAGCTGGCCAGGCAGTCAGGAAATTCACCCAATTCAAATCCCCACCCCCACCAATGGGGTGCTTTTTGCACCCAGATCTGGTACAACAGGAAGTAGCTGGGTTCCCTTTCCATGGATCTATTCTTCCTTCAAGGGTCCCTTGGAAGTCACCTTCACCCGAGCACTGACTCAGTTTCTCTTAGGAGTTCAGCACTATACCATAGAATTTTCCTTGATTCATTGCAGAACTAATCTCCCTTCTGCTCCATAGAAGCTTCTCTTCTCTATGGGACTGAAACAAGCTAGAATCTATACGTTCTAGAATCTCACAAAATCATCTGCCCAGTTTTCCCTTGTTTCTGCATTTTCATACCTATCAGCACAATGGCTGGCATGTCCATGCATCACCTGTATGACTACTGACTTTTATATCCCTTAAAATTAAATTTAAATAAACTTTAAAATTTTTATCCAGAGGAGTCCTAAGCAGTAACATCTATGGAATTGTGGTTCTGGTGAATTAGGTGGGTGCTTTAGAAAACACATGGGGGCCAGCAGGAGGTGTAGCAGTTAAGGCGCTGGACTCCCACACAGCCAACTACTGTTTGAGTCTCAGACCCGGTGGCTTGAAACTCACACTGGACATATATGTATGCATGCCCCAAATTCCAAGAGGATAAAAGATTGTGGCATGGCCATCCTCCCTGGTGTGTGTATGGGGGGGCGATTTCTCACTTTCTCTCTCTCCTCTCCAGCAAGTGCATGCACTCTACAGAAAAAAAAAAAAGCCTCTCAAAAATAAAACAGAGAGAGAGAGAAGACAAATGAAAATATATACTCACTGGTAAACATTAAATATTCTCATGCAGGACCAGACCACTGGTTAAGGGAGCCTTATCCCATATGGCCAACCATGAGGTTTGAATCCTGGCACTGTGGCTTGAAAACTATACATTCGTGCCCCAGATCCCAATGAAATAGACAGAGAAGGGATTGTGGCATGTGATGATGTCCCATTGAGGGTTTTTTTTCTCTCTCTCTCCCACTCTCAGTCTCTGGCAAGTACAAGTGCCCTCTGGCACATTAAAAAAAAGGAAAAATTAAAAAATTTCCAACCAGATGCCACCTGATTCAACTCCTTAATCGTCTCATCCACTTCCAGGAGCCTGAAGAGGACACTTTGGGAGACTTAGTGTACAAGCATCTCCATTTCTGCACAGAACATGGGGCTTTTAGCAGGAAACTGCCTAGCAGCTTACTTAGCAGGACCAACTATCCTGACACTGTTTCTAATATTATTTCATTACTGAAAGTCCTGGTCTCCTCAGCCAGGGCTATAGAAGCACAGGTCCCATCCCATAGCCCTTCCCAGTCCCCAGGACAGTCCTTCCAAGCCCTTTGCAGAGTTGAGCAGCCCAAGGGCAGGACTATGATCTTCCACAGTAGAGAAGGAGGCCCCCAGCAACACCAGGACATTGGTGTCCTCAGGGTACTGCATAGTCCTCCATGGACCCTGAAAGACCTGGGAAATAACTTTGCACCAGCAGAAAATCCTCCCCCTCCCTATATTCAAAGAACCCTCCTTTCCCATTGGCGTCTCACCCTTGGCGGCAGCTGCAAGGACCCAAAGAGCCCAGAGTAGGACCTGGCCTGGATGCACCCAAGCCCCGTTCATCTGGCTGGCCTGCCTGAACTGGACATCCACAGCTACGGAAGCCTGAGAAAGCTTCAGTCAGGGACAAGAGCAAATGTTAGCTGGCAAATGTTGAGCAGGAAGGCACTGGATGCCAGGTTAGTGAAGAATACCACCAGACCAATATTTTCACAGAAATTGACCAAGCAAGACTTTCCTGTTCTTATTTGCATAAGAAGGTGATGATTAACTCTGGAGCTGGGGAAAGAAAATTTTGTAGGCTTTGGTCTCGTGGGATGATAGAAGTTGAAGGACAGTCAGAATTGGGTAAGCCAGAGATCTCAAATTCAGATACCTACAAGGGTTGGGAAGGCAACAAACAAGTAGTGTATGAAGTTGGCCAAAAAATACAAGAGGGAGTGATGACACTGTGGAACACTGGATAGCACATTGCTTAAAGGGGCAATGACTTCTCATCTCCAATAAACATCTGACTTGTGATAAGGAGGTACTAGAAGTCTATGGTGTCTCTCCATTTTTTAAATGAAGCTTAAATTAAAAAAAAAAAAATCACCCTCTGGGGCCAGCAGGTGGTGTGGTGGTTAGGGGTGTTGTACTCCCACATGACTGGCCACAGTTCGAGTCCCAGACCTGGTGGTTTGCTTCCTCTCTCTCTCTGGTCAAATTTAAATAAATAAAGTTAAATAAAATAATTATTTTTTTAAAAAAATAAAACATCTGACTTGTGATAAGGAGGTACTAGAAGTCTATGGTGTCTCTCCATTTTTTAAATGAAGCTTAAATTAAAAAAAAAAAAATCACCCTCTGGGGCCAGCAGGTGGTGTGGTGGTTAGGGGTGTTGTACTCCCACATGACTGGCCACAGTTCGAGTCCCAGACCTGGTGGTTTGCTTCCTCTCTCTCTCTGGTCAAATTTAAATAAATAAAGTTAAATAAAATAATTATTTTTTTAAAAAAATATCACCGTGTGAGCCCAGTACAACCTCTCTACCAGCTTGAGCTGTGTCATAGTGAGCCCTTTGCAATTCTCTGATCAAGGCCTAGGCTCTGTGGTACAACTATGAAGATACATATGGCTTAGGGAGGTAAAATTATTATGAGTGGTTCTGCTGAGACCTTCCCTCAGCATTCTGGACTTTTCTTGCAATGTCCTTTCCGTTATAAGGTCATATTCTGAGAAACAGCTGTGATCCACAAGAGATCCAGGCCAAGACCCAGTAGCATGGCCACTCTGACCCACAAGGCACCACACTTTACTTAGGGCAAAAGGTCTAGGATGGGGCTTTCTAAGTGCATAGGGCAGGGCTAGTAGAGGCAGAACTATCTGGGGCATTTGAAAATGCATCCTTCTTTCCCATCCCCTGGAGATCTGAAGACAGAACAACAGCCATAGTAGGTTCAGGAAGTATTGATCTCATGCACGGGAGGTTTCCTAGAGTAGCCGCCTTATGAGAGAGGCAGGGGAGCCACAAGCAAATGTCCTGAGCCTGCTGGATACAGAAGTCTGCACACATAAGCATGAAAGCCTTCTTCGAAATCTGAGAAAGGGGCTTCCTGATGCTTTGCTCAAGGCAAGTGCTCCATAAACCTTCGTGAACTTGAGGTTCTCTGTTAAATAATCTCTTTTTCCACCAACTCTAACTCCACTCCTGATATGCTGCTGACAGTGCTATGGAAAGAGGACTTCGGTGAAATCTTATCTTATGTGAGGATTTTTTTTTTTAATTTTTGCTAGAGGGCACCTGTACTCACCAGGGAGAGACCAAGAGGTAGAGAGAAAGAGAGAAGAAAGCACCAGACCATCACACTGCAATCCCTTCTTCTCATGGGAATAATCACACTTCAATCCCTTCATCTCTATCTCTTCTTCCTTTGGGGATTTTGAACATTCTCTCTCTCTCTCTCTCTCTCTCTCTCTCTCACACACACACACACACACACACACACAGCATATTTCTCAAGCCACTATGGCCATGTGGAATCCAGCTTTATTAATCACCAGGCCACGGAGCTGGCCCTTGATTCTTAATTCAGCAAAAATCAAAATGTGATTCAACTTCACCTTGAAAAAATCCTTCAAATTTCCCCTGAAATCAAGTAAACAACTGTGGCCATCAGTTTCTAAGTATGATGATGTTTGGGAACTATGGGCTGAGGATAGGGAAGGAAGGGACTGTTCGTATTCGATCGTTGGATATTCAAACTGTCCACTATTGAGCTGACCGTAAGTTGTTAGAGGTAAGTAGGGGTGAGTGGGAATTTCTACAATATTTCCAGCTTGTCTGCAGGGATTACTTGTTTTGGTTTAACAGTAAACATATAAATATCTTAATCCCTGTTTATAGACACGATTGTTGTTGAAAAGATTCAAAGGCTTGTAGCTCTTTAGTTATCAAAGCATTTATTTCATAGCCTAGCCTGTAGGTGGTCAATAGTGTTTGCGAGACTGGACTCTAAATCTTGCTAGCTAAGATCATCCCACACACTGTTCTTTAAAAAGTTATAGGAAGTATATGGCTCCTCCCTGCCTTTCCAAGTAGGCCATTCTTGTTATGGCAGACCTATGTTGCCACATGATTTTGCCCATGGCCTTGTGACTCTGAACAGAGACCTAGGGCCTACCTTGATTGTCCCTCAGAATCAAGGGTGTTCTTAAACAAATTCCCTCTCTCTTCTGGGCCTTAGTCTCCATTTCCTGCAGACATTTTTTTTTAGGATTTTAAGTTCTAGAGGCCCAGGTATGAATAAGGTATCCAAACTACCCTATAATCCCAGAAAGATAGGAAAGCAGAGAAGTTTCTGAGAAATGGAAGAAGGTTGCTGACAAGACAAGATGATTTAACTTTCTTACTTTCTTTCTTTCTTTCTTTCTTTCTTTGTTTGCTTGTTTGTTTATTTATTTAAATTTGACCAGAATGGGACCCAGCAAGAGAAAGAGGCGGGGGAGAGAGAAAGAAAGACAGAGAGAGAGAGAGAGGGAGAGAGAACAAATGAGAAAGCAAGCCACCACATACAGGACTTGAACCATGGTCGGCCATGTAAGAGTCCAATACCCTTAACCACCATGCCACCTACCAGCCCCATTTATCTCTCTTGTTTTTTAATTAGTTATGACCATGACCGTCTTCCTCCTTAGGTCTTCTCTATATGTCTTCTCTGTATATGGGTCTATCACAGCTTTTTACATGCACCCTGGTGTTTCTCAGAACTCAGCTATTGATCTTCTAGCTTCACAATTTATCTTATTCCACCTTGACTATCAATTTATTTAATATTTTTTAAATGACATAAAAAACTTCATTATCAAAGAAACTTTACATACCTAATGTAATGGGGTAAGTAT